TTTAACAGGATGAATAAAATATTTTAAGACAAGGTGTTCAAATATTTTCCAAATCATTTCTAATATATATATATATATATGGTATCAGATTGATCTAATTCCTGTGCACTGAGGACAAGCAAGTCTTAGGTTACAAACTGAACTCTCCAATGCAAGAACAGGATGCATTTCTTCCTTTAGGAGGTGCTATTGTCAGAAGAAAAGAAAAAGGTTTCAGTTTTGTTTTTGCATGTGGGTGGATATTCTGTTTGTAATAACTGTTTGGATACACTATATTTTTAATATGCTAGTTGTGATAATTTCATGCCAAGTAAAAATGTCCACAGTCATATTTTATGTTCCTAAAGTAACAGAATGACTTTCAATCTGGAAAAGAAAAAAGAAGTGCTAATGTAGCATTTTTTCCAATTTTTCCGAAAATTTCCGTTCCCCCCCCCCAAAAAAAAAAACTGGGGGAAAAAACCATTTTTTTTTCCCGAGCTTCAAAATTTCCGGAAATTTTACATCTCTAGGCAAGCCACAGTTCTGTCAGGGCTGTTCCTGAAAGGGCAGTTTTCTCAGAGGTCTCTCAGCCCCACCTGCCTCACAGGGTGTCTGTTGTGGGGAGGGGAAGGGAAAGGAGTTTGTAAGCCGCTCTGAGACTCCTTCAGGTAGTGAAGGGTGGGGTAGAAATCCAATCTCCTCTTCTTTGTCTGACCTGAATCCAGTTCAGTCGGATGTTCCCAATATGTTAGGGTTACCAGATGTCCTCTTTTTAGAGGACAGGTCCTCTTTTGTTGGAGTCCATCCTCTTTTGGGCTTTAAAAAAACAACAACGGATGAAAACATATTTTGGGGTCGGAAGGTTAGGAACAGGGATGGGCACAAACAGGGGAAATAGGAAGGCTTTCGTAGGCCGCCGTGAACTCGGAAGTGAGTTTGTGGGGGGGGGGCAACTCTCTCTCTCTGTGTTTGTGTGTGTGTGTGTGGGTATTGCTGAAGGCCGGTTAGACCTGATGAAGTCTGCCTGCACATGGAAGCTTATACCCAGAATTAAACCTTGTTGGTCTTAAAAGGTGCCGCTGGACTCGAACTTTGTTTTGACTATTAAAGTTCTTGATAAAATCGGGGCTTTGAAATCGCCGCCCCTCCCAACACAGCAATTAATAAATGCAAATAAAAGTGAACGTCCACGCCTGTCTTAGAACAAATGAAAAACAAAAAACTTGAAAACAAACCGGAACAAAAGCCCCATCGCCGTATATTGCACAAAACAAGGCCCTCACTCGCTCACTCATTCTAAGCCGCTCAAAGGCTTTTCCTGGCCGCTAGATTCTCTTACTTTCTAACTTCCTGATTTTTCCCCACAACGTCAGCTGTTTATCTCTTACCGTCCTTCCATCAGCAGTTAGGAAGGAGGATCAAAGTAGATAAGGGAGGAACAGAACAGCTAAGCGATAATGAACTGACCATCAGAACTCCCTTAAAAGCCCTTTGAGCTATTCAACGCCCAAACAGGAAAGAGAGAGGGGGAGATTTTGACAAGAAGTCTCTAAAGCAAAAAGAGGGGGAGGGGGTTTAAAATAAAAAACGAAGGGCTTTAAAAACTGAACTGAAGCACCATACTTAGGTAAAAATGAAATGAAATAAAATAAAAGGGCTCCACTCAGCCTCCTGCCACTTAACCACACACGAGGGAGGGAGGGAAGGAGGGAGGGAGGGAGGGAAGGAAATTTTTATCGGGGAGGCTAAAGCAAAGGGAGAGAGGGAAAGATTGGGAAAAGGAGTAAAAACGAAGAGCTGGATGCGATAGGGCTCAGCTAAACAAAACCACCGAAGACAAAACAAATTAAACGGAAAGGCTAAACTAAAATAGATTAAAGTAAAAATAAAAGTAAAATGCTCTCCAAGGCCCGGAACCACACTAGAACTCTCTTCTCTAAGCTGAAAAGTCCCAGACTCTTCCGCCTTTCCTCCTAGGGAAGCTGCTTCGACCCACTAATCATCTTGGTCGCCCTCCTATGAGAGCCAGTTGAGTGTAGTGGTTAGAAGCGCAGACTCTAACCTGGGAGAACTGGGTTTGATTCCCCCACTCCTCCACATGCAGCCAGCTGGGTGACCTTGGGTCAGTCACAAGTTCTCTCGGAGCTGTTCTCTCAGGAGCAGTTCTCGAGAGAGCTCTCTCAGCCCCACCTGCCTCACAGGGTGTCTGTTGTGGGGAGGGGAAGGGAAAGGAGATTGTAAACTGCTCTGAGACTCCTTTGGGTAGTGAAGGGTGGGGTATAAATCCAATCATCTCATCCTCCTCCTTCTCCTCCTCCTCCTCTTCTTCTTCTTCTATGTCTGTCTGTCTGTCTTTGCTCACAAGGCTCCACAGCTTAGAGAGAATTGCCTGTGAGGCAGGTGGGGCTGAGAGAGCTCTCTCGAGAACTGCTCCTGAGAGAACAGCTCCGAGAGAACTTGTGACTGACCCAAGGTCACCCAGCTGGCTGCATGTGGAGGAGTGGGGGAATCAAACCCGGTTCTCCCAGGTTAGAGTCTGCGCTCCTAACCACTACACTCAACTGGCTCTCAGAGGAGGGCGATTTGGCTGCTGCATCAATTAGCTTGCCCCATCCTTCCTGAGTGGAGACAAAAATGTGTGAGCCGGAGGCTAAAAAACTGTGAGCCGGCTCACACCAACTCAGCTTAGAGGGGACACTGCTCACAGGGTGCCTTGTTGTGGGGAGGAGAAGGGAAAGGAGATTCTAAGCTGCTCTGAGACTCCTTCGGGTACTGAAAGGCGGGTTACAATCCAATCCCTTCTTCTTCTTCTTTTTCCAGTTCTGCAACGTCCTTTTTGAGATACGGCGGGTGTTCCAAATGAGGCCGCACCATTGTTGTTGCATTCTTCCCGCTTCTTTGTTATAGCTAGGAGACCCTTTCTTAAGATGGGAGTGAAAAAAAAGAAAGCACACCCCGAAACCAAACATCCTTCCCCTTCCCTTCACACCCCTCCCGCATTTTGCTTGCCTGGACATACAGTAATGGCTTTGGTGGTGGAGGGGAGTTGGTGGGTGGTTCCGCCCGTTCTGCTGCTGCTGCGGTGTGGGGGGCGGCGGAGGGGTGGGCTGCTGACCCCTTCCTCCCAAGGAGTAGCTCGTGTTGCTCCCGGTCCCAGTCCAGCTGGTTGCTGAGTACAGGAAAGAAGGAAAGGAGAGGAGTGAAGGAGAGGGAACGCGTGAGGCTCCCCGATTGTCCATCTGACTCGGCACTGCCTCCTCTGATGACGGACGGTGGCTCTCCAGGGTCTCAGGCAGAGAAGGGTCTTGGCCCAATACTTAAGAACGAAAGAGAAGCCATGTTGGATCAGGCCAATGGCCCATCCAGCCCAACATTTTGTGTCACACAATGGCCAAAACCCGGCTGCCCTCAGGAGGTCCACCAGCGGGGCCAGAACTTCAGAAGACCTCCCTATGTTGCCTCCCCAACTGCTAATAACAGAAGAGAAGCCATGTTGGATCAGGCCAATGGCCCATCCAGCCCAACATTTTGTGTCACACAATGGCCAAAACCCGGCTGCCCTCAGGAGGTCCACCAGCGGGGCCAGAACTTCAGAAGACCTCCCTATGTTGCCTCCCCAACTGCTAATAACAGAAGAGAAGCCATGTTGGATCAGGCCAATGGCCCATCTAGCCCAACACTCTTGTGTCACACAGTGGCCAAAGCCCAGGTGCCCTCAGGAGGTCCACCAGTGGGGCCAGAACTCCAGAAGCCCTCCCTATGTTGCCTCCCCAACTGCTAAGAACAGAAGAGAAGCCATGTTGGATCAGGCCAATGGCCCATCCAGCCCAATACTCTTGTGTCACACAGTGGCCAAAACCCAGGGTCCACCAGGAGGTCCACCAGCGGGGCCAGAACTCCAGGAGCCCTCCCACTCTTGCCGTCCAAGCACCAAGAAGCCAGAGCATCACTTGCCCCAGACGGAGTCTTCCATATATACCTGCTAGCTAATAGCCAGGTCTTTCACATCACCTACTGTCTCAGCCTTTTTAACTGGAGATGCCGGGGACTGAACCGGGGACCTTCTGCATGCCAAAGCAGATGCTCTCCCCACTGAGCCACAGCCCCATCCCCAGCTTCTGTAACATTCCTGAAAAAAAAATTCCTGCTAATGTCCTCAAACTCCTTCTCTTGTGCTTCTGTGCTCCCGGAAACTAGAAGGGACGTTAGTAAATAAAGCTCTCCTCTCCCCCCCTAAAGATCTCAGACCGTGACCAAGAACGTTCTCCTCCAAGAGAATGGATTTCCATTCTGCATGGCTAAATTTGGTGCCTCCCATGGAGACAGATCGAGATGGGTCGCCGTGCTAGTCTGCCTGTAGCAGTAGAAAAGAGCAGGAGTCCAGTAGCATCCTGGTTCAATCCCCGGCACCTCCAGTTAAAGGAACCAGGTAGCAGATGATGTGAAAGACCTCCACCTGAGACCCTGGAGAGGGGCTGTGGCCAGGCCCGTAGCTACAGTGGGGCATTCTGGGACCCCACCCCCTTAATTAAAAGCCCTGCCCCAAAGTAGCCCTGAAAGGAAAGGCTAGAAACAGGCCTGGAGCCTCCCCTTTAAAGACAGACATTCAGATTTAGTTAACTGTAATTGCCCCTTTAAGATTTTATATCCCCCCCCCCCGAACAAAAAAAATCCTGGCTACGGGCCTGGCTGTGGCTCAATGTTAAGGCCTCTGCTTGGCACGCAGAAGGTCCCTGGTTCAATCCCTGGCGTCTCCAGTTGAAAGAACCAGGCAGTAAGTGATGTGGAAGACCTCCACCTGAGGCCCTGGAGAGGGGGTTTAGCTCAGTGGCAGAGCATTTGCTTTGCATGCAGAAGGTCCCAGGTTCAATCCCCGGCATCTCCAGTTAAAAAGGACCAAGCAGTAGGTGATGTGGAAGACCTCTGTCAAGAGACCCTCGAGAGCCACTGTCAGACTAAGCAGGGGCCATGGCTCGGTGGAAGAGCCTCTGCTCGGTATGCAGAAGGTCCCAGGTTCAATCCCCAGCATCTCCAGTTAAAGGATCAAGTAGTACATAAGAGCATAAGAAGAGCCCTGTTGGATCAGACCAGTGGTCCATCTAGTCCGGTGGTCCATCTAGTCTAGTAGGTAACATGAAAGACCTCTGCCTGAGACCCTGGAGAGCCACAATCAGACCAAGTAGGGGCCATGGCTCAGTGGAAGAGCCTCTGCTCGGCATGCAGAAGGTCCCAGGTTCAATCCCCGGCATCTCCAGTTGAAAAGGACCAGGCAGTAGGTGATGGGAAAGACTTTGCTCTCCCTGAGACCCTGGAGAGCCACTGTCGGACTGAGCAGGGGCTGTGGCTCCGTGGTAGAGCCTCTGCTTGGCATGCGGCAGGTCCCCGGTTCAATCCCCGGCACCTCCAGTTTAAGGCACTAGGTAGTTGATGATGTGAAAGACCTCCACCTGAGACCCAGGAGAGGGGCTGTGGCTCAGTGGTAGATCCTCATCTTAGCACGCGGAAGGTCCCTGGTTCAATCCCCAGCACCTCCAGTTAAAAGAACCAGGCAGTAGATGATGTGAAAGACCTCCACCCGAGACCCTGAGAGAATGGCTGCGGCTCAGTGGCAGAGCCTCTGCTTGGCATGCAGAAGGTCACCAGTTCAATCCCCGGCATCCCCAGTTAAAAGGATCAGGTGGGAGGCGATGTGCCCTGGCCTCGATAGCCCAGGCAAGCCCGATCGTGTCAGATCTCAGAAGCTAAGCAGGGTTGACGGTGGTTAGTACTTGGATGGGAGACTTCCTTTGAAGACCAAGTCAGGAGGACAGAGGCAGGTTTTATTCAGCCACCGCTCTTGGATATCTTCCAGGCCCCCAGTAGGGGTCAGTCACCAGAGGTCAATGTGACTTCCAGGTGCGCACACGCACACACACACACACACACACAACACAACCAAAAAATTACACAAAAAAAGTAGGAGGTGATGTGAAAGACCTCTACCTCCAATGTTCCCTCTAAGCTGTGGAGTCTTGTGAGCAAAAATTGTGCTTTGTGAGCGACTGGCATGAAAGCGTTGAGTGAGCGTTTTGGCTGCTGCATAAATTAGCTTGCTCTGGAGCCCCATCCCTCCTGAGCGAAGGCAAAAATCTGTGAGCCGGGGACTAAAAAAAACGTGAGCTAGCTCACACTAACTCAGCTTAGAGGGAACACTGCCTGGGACCCAGGAGAGCAGCCCCCAGTCTGAGTAGACCATCCTGACCTCGATGGGCCAAAAGGTCTCCTCCTGTCCTCCTCCGCTTCATGAACCCCACCCTCCCCGCCCGGATACTTACTCGGGTAGGCCAGTTTTGGGGCGCAGCCGTTTTGCTGCGATCCCGGGGGAGCCGGGGAAGGGGCTGGGGTGTGGGAGGAGGCCGAGATCTGCAGGAGACCCTCGCCGTGCAGAAGGGGGAGCAGGGGACCCCCGGGAGGCCCTGGCGGAAGAGGAAAAATAAAATTAAAAAGGTTGTTTCAGGGCACCACTGCCATTTGGAGAGTGAGGGAGAGAAGACCTCCCTCCGTCTTCCCTTCCAGGCGGACCCCTGCCCAAAACCTTACCTGGGGGAGACAAGGGCAGTCCAGGGTAGATGCCGACAGGAGGACGGGGCGATTCCGAGAGCTGCAGCGGCGACAGGGGCTGGAAGGGGTCTCCGGGCGGGTGGCCGGATTTGCTCCCGGGACCCGGGTGGTCAGCCGGCGGGGGCGCCTGGATCTCCATGTGGATGCAGTCGGGGATGAATTCCTCTTTCACTAGCCGGGCGGGAGGGGCTAGAGGTGGGAAGACTGCACAGGTCGGGCACAGTTCACGGCAGCGGTACAGTCAGAGGTACGCTGCCCCTGAACACGGAGGTTCCGTTCAGTTGTTCGCGGTCACGGGGCCACAGACTTGCACTCCCTATCACTTGGCAAGCCTGCCTCCTAATTCCGCACTAGGTACTTATTTGTTTCTTGGACTGGAGCAGACGTCCACCCAGACCAGTTCTCTGTTTCCAAAAGTGGTCAGACAGGTACCTCTGGCTATGCAAGTTTTATGGCGTGCTCCGATATTTGAAATAAGTCATACCTTCGGACATGTATCTGATTTTACTCGTTGTGCGGAACAATCCATAATACTTTACAAATCTGACGAATCTGTATTTCTCCCCTACCCCTTTCCCCCTTCTCTATCCCGCCCTTTTAAGAGAAAATAATTAAAACATTCATTTACAGACTGATACCTCCGGCTAGCCCGCGGGAAGGCGGCATCTCTTGCCAAACTGTTGGTTCCCCAAGATTGGATTGGGAGGTTCTGTTTCATGATCTTAGTGACGAGCCGTTGATAGATCCCTTCCTCCTCCACGACGCTCTCCCACCCCTTTCTTAAAGCCACCTAAACTGGAAGCCCCACCCTGGTGGCAGAGAGTCCCATAAGTTAACTGCGCAATAGAGAAGGTCGGGATGTGCAATAGCCCTCTCTTCCCGTCTCTGGGACCTCTTCTCATCTCCACACTGCGGTGGATTGGCCATTAAGGTCACTGGGAAAAATCCCACTGGGCTGATGGTTTTTTTTGGGGGGGGGCTACCTCCTCCCGCCAGGGTTATCCTGGCCCCAAATTTATTTATTTTATTGATTGATCGATTAGCCTTTTACCCCATCCTCCCCGCCAAGGCAGGTTCAGGGCGGCTCCCATAAAACTAATAAAACAATATACATCATATAAAATTACAGGTACATCAATGAAAGTTGGTGGCGAGAATGTGACGCTCTATGGACCAACATCCCCTGGTTGTCCCTGGCCTGAAGGACACCCGTCTAGCCTCAACCAGGGCCAGGGCCTTTTCCGGCCTGGCCCCTGCCTGGTGGAACATGCTCCAAGTCGAGATCGGGGCAATGCAGGATCTCCTTCAATTCCTCAGGGCCTGCAAGACGGAGCTCTTCCGCCAGGCCTTTGGCTGAGGCAAGCGGGCGTCTGTGTACGGCCTCCTGGAGGTGCCGGTCGCCCACCTCCCAAGCCAAACAATATGCCAGGGAACCTCTCACAGCCAGTTGACTTTGTTGAACGGCGACCAGTGCTTTTAATGTGTGTTACTGTGTTTGAAAAATTTTTTTTACCGTATCTATTGCATTACTGATACGATGTTAACCCGCCCTGAGCCCGCTTGCGGGATGGGCGGGCTATAAATACAAATAAATCATAAATAAGTAATAAATAATAATAAATAAGGGAGAGGCAGCCCTTGTAGCTGCTAGAGGCAGTGAGCTGGCCGCTGCCCTGGCCCGATGTGGGCTGGGCGAGCGGTGGTGGCGGCGAATGAGCCATCCTGTCCTTCCCCACACGGGGCCGGGGTGGGTGACAAGAGAGCCGTTTTTTGCTCCTTTCCCCCATTCATTAGGAGGCAGGATGGGGGGGGGGGGGCAAGCCCCTATCCAGGGCTGTTTTTGCTTACCGGCAGGGGCAGATTAACCATTAAGTGGACTAAGCACGTGCTGAGGGCACCAGGGCCAAAGGGGGCACCACAAAGTTGGGGAAAGGGTGAAAAGCATAGTTTGTGTTATCCTATGAATACATTTTTGTATTGCTGCAACCTGCATTGTCTATCTGTTCAGACAGGTCAACACCTAAAATGGACCGGGTCAGTGTGGAAAGGAGGGGGGCACCAGTGATTGGTCAGGTGCTTAGGGCACCAGTGAGCCTTAATCTGCCCCTGCTTCCCGGTCCGCCTGCTTTGTAAAGGCGCTCTGTACCGGACAGGGAGGGTCACAACCAATGGTCCCTCTAAGCTGTGGAGTCTTGTGAGCAAAAATTCTACTTTGTGAGCTACCGGCATTAGAGTTGTGAGCGAGCGATGTGGCTGCTGCATCAATGCGCTTGCTCTGGAGCCCCATCCCTTCCTGAGCTAAGACAACAATCTGTGAGCTGGAGGCTAAAAAAACTGTGAGCTAGCTCACACTAAGTCGGCTTAGAGGGAACACTGGTCACAACCAGGGCTATTTTTGGGCAGGAACGCACAGGAATGGAGTTTCGGCTGGCTCCCAAGTTGGCCACGCCCAGCAGGAACTCATTAGCATAATAGGCCACACCCAACAGCAGAAACTCATTAGGATTGGCTACATTAGGGGTGTGTGGCCTAACATGCAAAAAACCCTGGGTTTTGACAACAAACAAGGTAAAGAGAATAAGAAGCAAAAGGTGGGTGTGGCTGGATGAGCACACTTCTGGTAACATGGGGGTGTGGCCTAATAGGCGAATGAGCTGTGCTGTCAGGGGTGTGGCCTAATATGCTAATGAGTTCCTGCTGGGTTTTTTCTACAAAAAGAGCCCTGGTCACAACCATATTCTGAAGGTCTCCCCAGAGTCCCCTGCCTTTGCCAGGACCCCTCCCTGGCCCTTTCGTCCACCCCCCCAGCCCAGACACCAGCTCTCACCTGTATTCTGGATATTCAGTCCTATAGAGAGAGAGAAGAGAGAAGAGAGAATGGATCGATCAGTTATCTTTGCGGCTTCGATGCAGGCGGACGGTTTGTTAAGAAAGTTAATGTGCCGCCTCTGGAGGCGAAGCACCTCTGAGCGTGTGCAGAATGGGACACTCCCCGAGTACAGCCAAGAGCATCTTTTAATCGGTATCTACATAAGAACATAAGAACATAAGAGACGCCAATGTTGGATCAGGCCAAAGGCCCATCCAGTCCAACACTCTGTGTCACACAGTGGCCAAAAATACCCGGTGCCATCAGAAGGTCCACCAGTGGGGCCAGGACGCTAGAAGCCCTCCCACTTTTGCTCCCCCCCCCAAGCACCAAGAAGACAGAGCATCCCTTGCCCCAGACCGAGAGTTCCTATCTATACCTTGTGGCTAATAGCCACTGATGGACCTCTGCTCCATATAAGAACATAAGAGAAGCCAATGTTGGATCAGGCCCATGGCCCATCCAGTCCAACACTCTGTGTCACACAGTGGCCATAAATACCAGGTGCCATCAGGAGGTCTACCAGTGGGGCCAGAACATTAGAAGCCCTCCCACTGTTGGCCCCCCTCCACCACCAAGAAGACAGAGCATTCCTTGCCCCAGAGCCCCTATCTGTACCTTGTGGCTAATAGCCACTGATGGACCTCTGCTCCATATGCTTATCTAATTCCCTTTTGAAGCCGTCCATGCTTGTAGCCGCCACCACCTCCTGTGGCAGTGAATTCCATGTGCTAATCACCCTTTGGGTGAAGAAGGACTTCCTTTTATCCGTTCTAACCCGACCGCTCAGCAATTTCATGGAGTGCCCACAAGGAGTTCTTCCATTGTGAGAAAGGGAGAAAAGTACCTCTTTCTCTACCTTTTCTAAGGGCAGGTGGCCTTAGCACTGAGCAAAGGGCTCTTTCAGGCCTTCTCCTCCACAGCAGTGAAGGCCTTGGTCTTATGCTGCAGTCCCTCATGGGAAGTGACCCATGCAAAATAACAGCTGAATTCCATGAGAGGCAAAGGGCACCAGAGGCTCCGTTACTGCTGACAATTGGGAATGGAAATCAAAAAGAGAGCCCTTTGCATGTACCTTCGTGGGCCAGTAGTTGTGTACCCCTAACCTAGATCCTAGCCTATCCAGGTACATGGCCTAGGGTTCCGTGAACCAAATCTGTCTGTCACATTTTGAGGAAGAAGAGATTAGATTTATACCCTGTCCTTCACTCAGAGTCTCAGAGCGTCTGACAGTCTCCTTTCCCTTTCTCTCCCCACAACAGACACCCTGGGAGGTAGGTGGGGCCGAGAGAGCGCTCACAGAACTGCTCATGAGAGAACAACTGTGAGAGAACTTGTGACTGACCCAAGGCCACCCAGCAGCTGCATGCGGAGGAATGGGGTATCAAACCCGGTTCTCCCAGATTAAAGTCTGCGCACTTAACCACTACACCAAACTGGATCCTGCCTTTCCTCCAAGGCATCCAGCAAGGGTTACATGGTGCTCTCATCACAACAACCCTACAAGGTAGGTTAAGCTGAGATTGGGAGGCTGAGAAAGGCCCCAGGTCGTCCTCCAGGAATGTGGGATTTGAATTTTTACGTTTCAATCTCCCCCACCCACTCACCAATGCCAGGTGACACCACTCGCTCGTAGTGGTACGGGTTCACACAGACGCTGTCGTACTTCAGGTCAAAGGCGAACTGGCAGAACTTGACGTGCTTGAGTTCGTTCTTATGCAAATCTGGCCAGCGCCAGAGACGGGCGTAGATCACGTGGGGGAAGCCCTTACGCCCTGCGACCTGCAGAATATGGGGGAGAGAGATGGTGGATTTTTCAGTTAGAACAGAATCGGAACAATCAATGAAACAGCAAGCCCATGGCCTTGACTCTGTGGGTCACCCAGGTAGAGTAAGCGAGGTAGTTCAATCACTATTAAAATACCATAGCAATGTGCAATAGCAATGTGCAATAATAACTGCACTAACAATGTGCAATTACAAATGTCCAATAGCAAATTGCAATAACAAATGTATATAGCAAAGTGCAATAACATTAGTGCAATAACACATTTGTCCAATAACAACTGTGCAATAACAAATGTCCAATAGTAGTAGTAGTAATCATCATCATCATCTGCTGCTGCCAAAGTAACCAGGAAACTCTTCTGTCCCCCCAAGTAACTCTTTTTTTGCTTAATATATTCAGAACAGATCACCGTCATAACCAGACTTTAGTACAATAATCCGATATTTCACCCCCTCCAAATGCCACGAGTGTAAACCGTGTGCGTGTCTGAAGTATTCCTGCAACTCCCATACTGCTCATTCCCATGTTCCTGACTTATTTAATTATGGAAAAGTTGAGCATCTTGCCTAGTGCAGAGAGCGAATAAAGAGAAACCGGGAGAGAAACAGAGGCAGAGGGCTAAAGAAAGAGGGTTGGATCAAGCAGGGGGGGGGGAGAGAGTTCCCTCCACAGATTACAGAGCCCATAAATTGGGGGCAGGGGTCTTTCCCTTACGATAGCCGTCAGTGACATTTTAGGTTCAGGGTCATGGCCTTCCCGTCTACACTGCTTTCCCAAGCTGAAAAAGGTCCAGGGGGCTGCTGCCTGGGGAAACCAGGGAGTTCCCTGGGATAGACATGGGTGACCCAATACTTCCCTCTAGACTGTTTCCAGCTGAGAAAAACAGCACTGAGGGGAAGCCCCTTCTAGACTTTCACTACCAATCCCCCCACCAATCAAAAGGGACAAGGCAGAGAATAGAAGAAGAGATTGGATTTATAGCCCGCCCTTCACTACCCGAAGGCGTCTCAGAGCAGTTTACAATCTCCTACCCCTTCCCCTCCCCACGACAGACACCCTGTGAGGCAGGTGGGGCTGAGAGAGCTCTTTCGGGGACTGCCCCTGAGAGAACAGCTCTGAGAGAACTTGTGACCGACCCAAGGCCACCCAGCCGGCTGCATGTGGAGGAGTGGGGGAATCCAACCCGGTTCTCCCAGATCAGAGTCTGTGCTCCTAACCACGACACCCAAACTAGCTGCTATATCTATGGTTGCCACTCTGTAGCTGATACCTGGAGATCTTCGGCTATTGCGGATGGTTTCCGTACAACCAAGATCCGTTCCCCTGGAGAAAATGGCTCCTTGGGAGGGTGGACTCTATGGCATTAATACCTTGCTGAGGTCGCTCCCCTCCCCAAACCCTGCCCTCCCTGGGCTCCACCCCCCCAAATCTCCAGGAATTTCCCAACCCGGAGCTGGCAACCCAACGACCCCATCCCCTGCTTGTCCCGATACCCGCAAGACTCAGCAGAAAACACAAGGCTAAAACGACTTCACAGATACTGGACTGTGCCCCCCTCCCATCCAAACAGGGATGCCACCCTCCAGGTGGGACCTGGAGAATCCCTTGGAATTATAGCTCATCTCCAGACCACGGAGATCAGCTCCCCTGGAGAAAATGGCTGCTTTGGAGGGGGGGCTCCGTGGCATCGTACCCCGCCCGCTGAGGTCCCTGTCCTCTCCAGGGCTCCACCCCTAAATCTCCAGGAGTTTCACAGCCTGGATCTGGCAACCCTACGCCCCTGTCCCCTGCCAGGAGTCAACCCTACCTCCAGACCCTACCTAATTTGTCAGCAGCTCAGCTCTGTGGGGCAGCATGTGCCTCCCCCCCCAAGCCCTACACTCCCGGCGCCTCCCAGATAAGCCGCAACTTCTCAGGATGGGTGTGCTTGGCCCCACCCGCAGCACCAGGAGGAGGGGCACCGAGGTTGCTCTCATTTTTTCCCCCTGAGGCTTTTGGCTGCGGCTGATTCCAGACATAACAACAGGGCCCCCCTCCCTCCCCGCGGCTCCAAGAACCAGACAGTGACTCATCCTCCGGGCGTGGGTAGGGGGGGGGGAGGAGATGAGACATAGGGGAGAGAGAGAGATTAGTGCAAAGGGGAGGGGTGGGGGTTGGAAAACGGGTTAATGACTTCGCAGCATCGCCTGGCTTGACCTCAAAACTTAACAAGGGGGAGGGGGAGGGACGCAAAGGAGACCCCCTTGTTTTCCCCAAAGCAAACCCTCCACTGCAGTTTCAAGGCCTTTAAGGAATGTCTGCCTGTCTGTCTGTATATCTATCTATCAATCATCTGTCTGTCTGTCTGTCTGTCTATCAATCATCTGTGTTTATCTATCAATCGTCTGACTGTCTGTCTATCTTTCATCTACCTATCTATTTATTTAGCTATCTATATATCTATCAGTCATCTGTCTGTTTGTCTATCTGTCTGTCTACCAATTGTCTGTTTGTCCATCTGTCTATCAATCGTCTGTCTGTCTATCTTTCATCTACCTGTCTAGCTATGTATCTATCAGTCATCTGTCTGTCTGTCTATCTATCAATCATCTGTGTTTGTCTATCTATCAATCGTCTGACTATCTTTCATCTACCTATCTAGCTATCTATATATCTATCAGTCATCTGTCTATCTATATATATCATCTGTCTGTTTGTCTATCTGTCTGTCTACCAATTGTCTGTTTGTCCATCTGTCTATCAATCGTCTGTCTGTCTGTCTGAAGACATTTGGGCTTCTAATGTCCTGGCCCCACTGGTGGACCTCCTGATGGCACTGGTATTTCTGGCCACTGTGTGACCCAGAGTGTTGGACTGGATGGGCCTTTGGCCTGATCCAACATTGGCGTCTCTTATGTTCTTATGTCTCTCTATCTTTCATCTACCTGTCTATCTATCTATCTACCTGTCTATCTATCTATCTATCTATCTATCTATCTATCTATCTATCTATCTATCTATCTATCTATCTATCTATCAGTCATCTGTCTGTCTGTCTGTCTGTCTGTCTGTCTATCTATCTATCTATCTATCTATCTATCTATCTATCTATCTATCTATCTATCTATCTATCATCTGTCGGTCTATCTGTCTGTCTACCAATCGTCTGTGTTTGTCCATCTATCAATCGTCTGTCTCTCTATCTTTCATCTACCTATCCAGCTATCTATATATCTATCAGTCATCTATCTGTCTATCTATATATCATCTGTTTGTCTATCTGTCTGTCTACCAATTGTCTGTGTTTGTCTATCTGTCTATCAATCGTCTGTCCGTCCATCCATTCATTATCTATCTATCTATCTATCTATCTATCCATCCATCCATCCATCCATCCATCCATCCATCCATCCATCCATCCATCCATCCATCGTCTGTCATCCGTCCGTCCATCCATCTATCGTCTGTCTGTCTGTCGTCCGTCCATCCATCCATCCATCTTATCGTCTGTCTGCCTACCAATTGTCTGTCTGTCTGTCCCTCTCTCTATCCACCCACCCATCCATCCATCCATCCTGCTTTCTCTGGGTTTATTCTGGCTTAATCAAACTCACGGAAACGATTTGCTGCTATGCCCACTTTGCCCGTGGGCGCGAGATATATCCATTGGTTCATGCTTACAGGGGGAATGTTTGATTTCACTATAAGCCAGAGGCTCTAGTCTCCAGGTGGGGCCTGAAGATCTCCCGGAGTTACTCCAGACGACGGAGATCGAGTTCCCTGGAGAAACTGGTTGCCTTGGAGTGCGGACTCTGTGGCATTTCATCCGGCTAAAGCTCCTCCCCTATCCAAGCCGTGCCCTCTCCGGGCTCCACCCCCCTCCCCCAAATCTCTGGGAATTTCCCAAGCTGGACTTGGCAGCCGTAAGTGCTGGCATGCAAGCTTCCCTCTTGGGGGAGAGGTCTTGCAGTGTGTCGGGGGGGGGGGAAAGCACAGAGCAGAGGGGGTTATTATCCTGGGATAGTCAGCATGGTGTAGTGGTTAGACTAGGATTCGGGAGCCCTGGGTTTGAATCCCCACTCTGCAGTGGAAGCTTCATGGGTGACCTGGGGCCAGTCACACGCTCTCAGCCTTGCCTACTTTGCAGGGTCGTTGTGAGGATCAAATGTAGGAGTGGAGAACGATGCGGACTGCTCTGGCGCCCCAAAGGAGCGGTATAAATGAAGCAAGCAAATCAATAAATACATACATTCAGTCCTCCTGTTTGCTTGCAGGCTTCCTGAAATCAAAACAACTGGTTCGCTGACATATTCGGGGCTCATTTTCTTAACCTAAACATGCATTTATTTACTTACCACCTGCTTTTCTCCTCAGCTGGGACTTAAAGTGGCTTAGAATATTGCTCTTCCCTTCTCCATCCTCCCACAACATCCCGTGAGGTAGGCCAGGCTGAGCATTTGTGATGGGCCCGAGGCCACCCAGCGGGCTTTCATGGCAGAAGTGGGGGACTCAAACCCAGGTCTCCCAGACTAACCCTCTGTCTACTCTAGCACACTGCCTCTCAGACATAGCAGTGGGGATAGTATGCATATGAGTTATGGGGGGGCAGCCAATGATTAAGATGCACAAGTTTCAGGGTCGCACAGAACTCTTCTTCAGGGAACTCTTCTTCAGGTTAGGAGTGCAGACTCTAATCTGGGAGAACCGGGTTTGATTCCCTGCTTCTCCACATGCAGCTGCTGGTGTGACCTTGGGTCAGTCACAAGTTCTTTCAGAGCTGTTCTCTCAAGGGCAGTCCTCGAGAGAGCTCTCTCAGCCCCGCCTACCTCACAGGGTGTCTATTGCGGGGAGGGGAAGGGGAAGGGGAAAGGAGATTGTAAGCTACTCTGAGACTTGAGTGAAGGGTGAGGTATAAATCAAATCTTCTTCTGTTGTTGTTGTTCAGTCGCACAGTCGAGTCCGACTCTTCGCGACCCCATGGACCAGATCACGCCAGGCCTTCCGGTCTTCCGCT